CGAATCGAGTTTAACTAGTACACTGTTCAAACACGACTCTTCTGGTGATTTGGTCCTTGTCAGTGCACCATCACTATCGCTGCCAGTCCGCGGGAGCAAAATCGAAATGATTTATAGGCAGAGACCCGCACGCAATCTCACCAATACGCCAAAAACGCAGATAAAACAAGAAATGATTCATGTGATGTTAAATAAAAAGCAAATAAATCTGCTAACAAAGAATAGAGCTGAGTCAACAAAGGCCTCATTCGGTAAATTCACACCCCATGCAAGGAAGGGTCCGTTTATTTATAGCATACTTGAACGATCCTGCACAATCCATCGTCCAAGTTTCAACCGGAAAACAACCTCTCTTATCTTCTTTCCTGTTGGTAGTAGAAGCGCTCTTTTGGATTTTCAGATAAAAGGATAGAATCATCAATGGAGGGTACTGTCAAATGCTCAGCAAATTATGTACCTCTGACGCCCATAAGTTTCTTGGAGCGTTCGGCAATTGTATACAGAGACAGGATTTCAGTAGTGTATGGCGATTTAAAGTTCACTTGGGCAGAAACTCGTGACAGATGCGCCAGACTCGCTTCTGCTCTTCACTCCCTCGGAATCTCCCGTCATGATGTTGTAAGTTCCCATTTAATCCTTGGATTTTCTGGGCTTTCTTTGTTATTCACAATTTACCTGCATTTTCTTCTTGTCCAGTTCGTTTTGTTTTCTTTAATTGCTGTGCTTCAATTTGTTCTGCAATTAAAAGTCCTTCAATTTGTTCTGTTGTTCGTTAATTATCACGATTGAATCTTTTTTTTATTGGGATTGTAATTTTCTTCCTTGATTTAGCATCTTTTATGCGTTAAATTTGTAATTTTTAATTTGCTGATTGCTTGGTTGTTGGGAACTAGTTGGAATGTTAAAAATGATTTCTGCCTTTGTTTGGAATGATATCATCTGGGTATTTTTTGTCTCTATCAATCATTGCACTGGTTGTTGAATAGACATGCATTGACATCATTACTATAGATTGATTCCATTTCAATGAGCCCACAAGGGACCAGCTGCCCCTTATATATTTTTTTTTGGTGGGTCATTTTCATGCTTCAAATCAGTGACTTTGTAGTAGTTGGAGGTTTAATTATGCAATTTGTTGCTGTTACCCAACTCTAAATACTTTCAACCTTTTTCTTTTTTATTTTGTGAAGAAAAAAAAAAAAGAAAGGTCGCATGGATATGGTGGGGGAAGGGGAATTTGGCACCTAATGGAACCAGATTACTTGAAACCTGTAAAAGACATGCTAACCTATCAAGAAGTTTTTGAGTGTCTGGAGCATTATGGTAAAGATATCACTATGAAATTGCTGACCTTACGGAATTGTGCATTTGGTGGTCAATTTTGGTTTCTCAGTAACCATTTACGGCAGAGTTTGTGGAACATTACTTTCCTAGTAACGTGCGCTACAAAAATGTTAACCTTTTGTATTTGAATAGGTCTAATCTTGATATCTGAATTTCAGGTGCTTTTTCAAGTTTGAATGTATCTTCAAGCATCTCTGGTGCTAATATCTGTGTGCTTTAACCATTGGAATGTTTTGGCAAAGTTCTTTAAATCCTGCAGTCTAGCTATGTCTTGCCGTTCAGTTATGGTACAATGATGAGGTTCCTTTCTTGATAAGTATACCAGAAATTCCATCTGCTGGTTAATAATACTTCTGATAGAGGACTTGATGAGCTGGAAGTAATACTTCTGCTGGCTGAAAATATTTCTGCTGGTTTGTGATGAGGCTAAAAGTAAACGTTTTGATATAGAACATTGAGTGCCTAGAAGATCTTCTAAATCAAGTCTTGTCACATGCTTAAATTTGAAAGTAAGGTTGAGTTTCCTAAGATATAGGTACACTGAATTAGCTAGACCTGAGGGCTTGAGCTTTATGAAAAGTTTGAAACTTTGAATCCAACTTGTCCATGGCCTATTGAATGGACTCCTCCACATTTCTCCCTAAAATATTGTCAAGTTATACACAGAGCACGCTAGAACTCGTCAAGTATAGCTGAAAACATGAACCACCTCAGAACCTTAAAACTTTTCTTTCCTTTCATAGATTTCCCTGTATTTCATGGATTACAAGTCAAACAGTTTGCGTGCATATGCAACAGAAGACTGTGTTCTCTTGTCTAAACCACCTGATGTGATGTGTCTCTTCTGATACCTTGTATTTAAGCTTTTGATTACATGTGTAGGTCGCTGTCCTGGCCCCAAATATTCCTGCAATCTACGAGCTGCACTTTGGAGTTCCAATGGCAGGAGCAGTTCTCTGTACTCTCAATATACGTCATGATTCAGCAATGGTGTCGACATTGCTAAAACACTCAGGTGCAAAAGTCATTTTTGTTGATTATCAGTTACTTCATACTGCAAAAGGGGCATTAGGAATTCTACTAAAGACAAGCAGCAAGACGCCTAAATTAGTTGTGATTCCCGACCAAGCTAGCTCATCTTCCAGGGTTAGTGACATGTATTTCAATAATGACAATTTAGAGTACGAATCTTTCTTGGCATCAGGAAGACCAGACTTTGAGGTTATAAGGCCACATGATGAGTGGGATCCTATTGCTTTGAATTACACTTCAGGTACAACATCAAGCCCCAAAGGTGTTGTCTACAGTCACAGAGGAGCCTACCTCAATTCTCTGGCTGCTGCTCTTTTAAACGAAATGCCATCCATGCCTGTTTATTTGTGGACTGTTCCGATGTTCCATTGCAATGGCTGGTGCCTTACTTGGGCCGTTGCAGCACAGGGTGGCACAAATATTTGTCTAAGAAATGTAACTGCAAAAGGGATTTTTGAGTGCATAGCTAAGCACCAAGTGAGCCACATGGGTGGTGCACCTACAGTATTAAATATGATAATTAATGCACCGTCTGTTGATCGGAGACTGCTTCCAGGAAAAGTGATAGTGATGACAGGCGCTGCCCCCCCTCCTCCTCATGTACTTTTTAAGATGGAGGAGCTGGGATTCAATGTTACTCATTCCTATGGCTTGACCGAAACATATGGTCCTGGAACAGTTTGCACTTGGAAACCTGAGTGGAATTCACTACCACCTCATGCACAAGCCAAGGTCAAGGCTCGTCAAGGGTTGCACCACCTTGGCATCGAAGAACTCGATATCAAAGATCCAGAAACAATGCAAAGCGTACCACCGGACACAAAAACAAGGGGTGAGGTGATGTTCAGAGGCAACACCGTCATGAATGGATACTTTAAGGATAGTAAAGCAACAGCTGATGCTTTTAAAGGTGGATGGTTTCGAAGTGGGGACGTGGGGGTGAGACACCCTGATGGATACATAGAATTAAAAGATCGATCCAAAGACATTATCATCTCAGGAGGGGAGAATATTAGCTCGATTGAGGTGGAATCAGTGATTTATAGCCAATTCCAGCGTTCTGGAAGCGCGCAGTAGCTTGGACAGACCGATGATTATTGCGGATGAAACACTGTGCATTTGTCAAAGGAGACAGGCATGAATTGTAAAGCAAATGCCCAATGAAATTATCAAGTTCATATGCCGTGAATCATTTGCCAGTCATTATACTGGTCACAATGTTGTTTTTTGGGGAATTGCCAAAAAACTTTCCTACAGAGAAGAAAATACAAAATTTGTTCTCCGCCAGAAGGCCAAAGACCACTGGGAGATCTGTCTACAACAGCCAGCAGATCTACTGCATTTCCGTTGTCTGCACAACTAACAATGTACAACTTCACCCACCTAGTATCTGTTCGTGAGCATCGCTTCGTATCGTCACAATTGAATCACTCACAAAACTTATCCTGTGCGCTCTTTTTTGGCTAGCGTAGTGAGGCGGAATATTGAGAATTTGATCGCGTAGCAAGGCAAAGTGAAACAGGCTTTAATACTTTCCATTAATTTGTTCCACAGGCGAGATTATAAAGTGAGGATTAAATGTCAAGACTTACTTTGTATTGACTCAACCATATATGCTGCTTTAGCTATTAATATGAGATTCAGCATTCCACTTCAATCATGAGCGAGAAAATTCACGACTGCTTATTAGGCAAAACTATGCATCTAAAATAGTTTTGCATGCCAAGCTTGCGAATCATTAAAGGCTTCAAATTGTCAATTCAGTCTGAATGACACAAATCACTTGTTTATTCTTTGATCAACATTACTACGAAGACATATTCACATGAAAATCGTTCAGTGTTAAAACTGCAAAGTGCTGTCTCAGCGTAATTTAAGACTTGGAGATCTTGCAGCCACAGCATATCACCAAATGACTTTTGTAGTCAGTAAATCAAGAAGCGGAGGAGACAATGGGTCCAATCACAGTCTCAACCGGACTTCAGCTTGCTGTGGAATTCACAAAGACCACCAAACACTATAGGAGATTCTCTTCCAGCTTTACAAGTGGTTACTTGACAAACGTGCCAGCGCTCTTCCACATTATTCCAGCTAGCTTTTCGTCGCGATATCATGACACAGCATCAACCAATAATCTGTTCTCTAATACTTGCATTACCAGTTTTGACAAGAGTCCACTAGATATGGGAAACGCTTAACTAGCAGAGATTGTCAGGCGGCCCTTGAACATCATCATATATCCTAGTTGAAACACAATACTCACTAATGAAGAACACAATACCAGTAATACAAGTGATCATACATCTACTCGAACCAACCAACATGAGCTCTAACAATTTCATCAAGTTGTGACGCTCTTTTGCTTTTCAATTATGGGGTGTCGTCTATTTTTCAACCAGCGGGGAGCCTACTCACTCTGTTGCCATTGCTGCATCTTTTTCTTGCTTGGCAGTCAATCTTCTAGTATTGCATCATTCGAATGTATGCGTCAGATATTACCACCTGTGTTCTGACCTAGCTCACAGTTTTTGCCTCTCTATTTCATTCATGAGCCTCCCATCTTCTCAATTCTTTCTTCGCTCACATCACTTTCTGTTATCCATGCCTTCTAGCTGCACATGCCCTCTGAAGATACCTTTTCAACTGATTGGCATGGTATCCAGCATCTTTCTATCTCTGATTCATGTGAAATGGAAGAAGTGAGGGAAAATCAATGCAGATATTGTCACTTGTGAAAAGAGTGAAAGCAAAAAACACTGCATCAAATCATTTAACAACTAAAGACATCATTCTCTGGATGTGAGGAATGAGTACGCACCTTCATTATGGAATCGATCCATCTCTTCCTTTCGAGTCATGAAATCGAATGACAGTATAATAGTTTCATTGTATTTACGCTCACAAACCCTGAGGGACCTGCTGTTATCTTGAATTTCCTTGGTAAGATTGTCAATAAGCCGTGAAGTTATTTGCTTCACTTCTGCTTTAATATCAGCAATAGTCTTCAAATCTGCCTTCTGTTGAAGATATGCTCCAATTAATTCTAATGAATGATAAGCATCAGCAGGGCAACCCATCCATACCACTTATCACCCACATTCATGGTTCAAAGTCTCAGCCGAGACTGAGATAATTCGGCCGAGTTGTCGCCGAAACGACCCCTCCTATATGATACCGAGAAGAGATGACTCTGAGATACTTGACTCGCCGAAAACTCGGTTGAGAAATCTCCGATACGAATAGTCTCGGCCGAATCGGCCCGAGTCAACTTGCAAATTTACATTTTACATATTTTCTTTTGCTAATTTTTTAATTATTTTTGTTTAGAATATTTTTGAATATTATTCACAATTTTTAGAATATTAAATACTTTAAAATTTGTGTCTCACCAAGACCGTGATCAATATGTCGAAACCGATGTGGAACGGTCCAGGCCGCGACCGCGACTTTGAATCATGCTTATCACCCGTTATATGCTTCATAGTAATCCCTCCTACCAAGATGCTCTGCTTCAAAACTCTCTTCAAAAGCCATTGCCTCAGACAATCCTGCCTAGTTCTTGTTGAACTCAAGTATTACATACCCTGATAATGTTGCACAGTTCCAGAATGGTTGCACAGTCATTGGATTAAACTATTTCATAGTCAGATCATTCCTAACCTCAGAGCCACAGCTTCCAACATCTTATCCATTTCTATTGTCAGCAGGAATATTTGCAACAATTCCCATCCAAAGATATGCAAATTCTGCATTTACACCTGTGCCTGCATGATGATCACCAGCCATCACCATTCCTAAGGATTTTTCCCCATCTTCAATTTTTCCTTTTTGTGAACTGTTTGAAACTCTACAGACACGCTGGTCAGACCGGACCGACTCTTTTCTGCTACTTGCCTCCTTGCTTGCTCGGAAGTTGGGAGTTGGAACGGAACATCATCTTCTTTTGGCTTTGTTTAACCAATTCATGATCTTTAATGAGGGCACTAATTTCATGGTCTTTTGGCTTTGCCAAACTGATTTTTGTGCATAAGTTTACGCAGGCAATGAAGGAGTAAGTGATACTTTTCTAACTCCGCCTGAACAAAGTCCATGCCAAGAAGCATTTCATTTCCAGTTTGAGTTGATTTATTCTGCAGGGGCTTTCAATTGAAAATGATAGAAATCTCGTAAAATGTGGTATCTGGTTTAGGTCAAGAGACACTGGAAATGAAAATGATGCTGCCTTTTATGTACTTCGATCTTATTCCTTGATCAATTTCAAGTTGGAGCAACTTCCAAGACTCCATGCAAAACACATAATATGGGGTGAAGTTGTGTATGCCAATCTGAGGTTGGTTCCCTAAACTTGGGAGTTGGGACCAAGAGCTACTTCTATCTCTTCACTTTGATTGGTTTTATTTTGGAAAACTATACCTGAAATCCAACTTCAAAAAATCCTGCAGCTGAGTTCAATCACAGATACTGCAACAATCTATTCCAATTCCTGATATATTGACTGATATACAATATATACTGACAGAAAGTAAGATCGAAACCATAAATCATGTTGAGCATCTTGCTCAGATCATTTTCCTTCTAAATCATGTCTCTCTTTTCATGAGGTAGTACCTGTTTGCATCTCAAGTTCCTGACCCAAACTAGCTGATCATCCCAGTTGTAAAGATGTACCTATTGAGAGATTTACAGAATTTACTAGAACAAACACTTGAATATATCCCAAAAAACGAGTATAGATAAATCAATGTTTGAAAAGAAAAAGATGCATGTACAGTTCAATCGATATACATAGCACCTGTATAATCTTAGCTTTGGAACCAGGAAAGGTGAATGTCAGGTTTGACATAATACATGAATTGCAAGATCCTTCACTAAGTAAACTTCTGATAGCTTCACTTTTGCCCGCATCAAACAGCTGTGAGGATCATGATATGAGGGTGGCATCTGTACCTCTTGAATTGTATCATGAAACCCTGGTCAGGTTCACAAAGAGACCTTACCCTATCAAAATGTTTTGAAGTACGAGAAAGTTGCACCAGTCACATGCCCATTGCAGTTGATATTACAAGGCAGGATCTGTGAGGTTCATTCTGAGTAGTCCCTCTTCATCTCCAAGATATATCTGCATTTCAATCAGATGCAGCTGCCCCTTTGAAGACCCAAAGTACAGAATCAACCTTTTTCACTTTCCCTAGGTATTGGAGTTGCCGGCATCATTTGAACGCGCTCTTTATCCAACGCAAGAAATGCCCCAACTTGCTAATCCAATGCACAGAATTATTAATACAGGCAGAAGCTTTCTTTGGCAAAATCAATGTATCAAAAGACATGTACAAATGTTTCTTTTTCCAATTTCTCTATGACTGGTTAGAAAAACTACTCATCGGATGACACATTACATAATGGTTTACAGCAACAGCTAAAATGTCATTCTCAAACAGAATATTCTGACATAACAACGTCTAGATTCTCAGGGTAAGAATTTAAAACCATAAAGGAGCTTCAAACAAAATGGAAAGAGTTAAAATACTTAGCTTGCTTCGGCAAAATAAGATTCACATGCTAAGTCACGTAGATTTAAAAACAGAAAAAAAAAAAAAGGAATTGGATTCTGATAAAGGTATAGCTGGCAACAACCCCGGAGATAGAAAATTCTATGGAGAGAGAAAGGAACAAGCTCAGAAAGAGAGAATTCTGATGTTAGCACGCATGTCAACTATCTGTCCTTTATTTCTGCAAGCGTGAAATATAAACTGATACTAACTGAATAGAAAATTCTATAGAGATTATAACCTCTTTGTTTCCAATTATATGATTGGACTTGATAGGTTCATTCAAGACAATAGATGGTGAGACAATGTTTAAAAAAATTTTGCAGAAATAACATTACATTGCCCAAGTGCATCCTATTGTGTGGTTATGTTTCTACATCTCTTCCATATTTCTGCATTTCTCTATGTTTTACCTTAATCTATTAAAAAGAAAAAAACAAAAAGAGTGAGAGCCTAGATAGCATTTCTCTATATGATAGCAACTCTACGGCTGAACTACCCTTGATCTTTGATTTGTTGCCTGAACTGTTACTGATGCATGACCTATTACCTAATCTATCCACTAACGCATGGTATCACCACTCTGTCAGTTTCTCATCCCATCTTCATTAGGCCCAAACAATAAAAAGGTTAATAATGAGAGAACACAATAGTACAGTTGAAGAATAGCTTCTATGATCAGGAAACCAAAGAGAGCTGAAATTTGATTTGACATAACATGTTGAAAATTCACTAGCAGCTAACAAAAGCCCAAACTCAACCATAACCCCTGATGCCTTTTCTGATTTTCAAGCAAAAAACTCTAAAACAAATTAAAATACAATTTCAAGAGGCCAAATTCAGTATGCCAAATTTATAAACCTATTTTTCAATCAAGAAAACTATGGATGGCCACCAGCAATCAACATGTTCCTATAGGAGGGAAAAGACAGAGCAAGAACAGGAGAGGCAGAAGGCGGAAAGGAAGGTGGGCGAGGAAAGCATCAAAAGGAACAGACATCAGGCAATAAGAAAATGGAGTCCGGGATATGCCCTTGGTTTGGGCAGTATAAATAGAGATAACCCTAGTGGGGGAATCAAAATGTTAGTGCCCAATTTATGAATAAATCCCATAGATTGGGCCAATGAAAGCCTTAGATCTATTTCCAGAAGCCTTGCAAACACCATCAATCACTATCAGTCTATCACTCTTTTTGCCCATGCCTTAGTTCCAGACCCCCTGACAAGCAACTAGTATGCAAAAGAAACACAAAAAGAAATCAATAAATCAAGGACTCCATCAAAAGAAAACAAATATAATCGAGAGCACCAATAGAAAACCTCGGCCAAACTAGTCTGGTTTCTAGTCAATTTCTTTGCTGGCTTTCACCAAGTTTCATAGACTTATAGTCTTCTCTGAGTTTGCATTCGACCAGATCGAACAGCTGAAAATTCCTGGATGAACCAATTGAACCATTCAAAGGTTGAATATTTCCTAGGCAGATTTCCTGCAAAAAATACATAACTCAATTACCCAATTAAAAAATAAAATCCACCATTAAAGGAAAACCATGGTTGTAACATGCCAAATTTGTCTTCTTTTTCTGCTGCATTAGGGAAGCCAAAGAACAAGTTTTACTTTAAAAATATGTCTGGTGACCTTAAAATCTTATTGAGGTTCAATTACTTACTAAGGGATTATGATGACGAAGCAGGCTCTAAATATAAATTGTCATAATAAAAAATATAGACACTGAAAGAGAAAGAGAGACTGAGATATTGTCTATGCAGGTCTGTGGTAAATTTATAGCTCTGTCTTTTAGAAAAATGGAAGGCTTTAATGATCATAACAGCTGTAGCCAACTTCCTTTACCGGCATCATTTACAGAGTGGAGCAAATATACCGACAAAAACGGAATAGTTATCTGATTCCGCTCAATCAGGTGTTTGGTAACACATTTATTGTGTTACAAGAATACATCAACACTAGATTTCCAATTGTACTAAGAGAAGCTCAAGGTAAAAAGGCTGCAGCTCACAATGTATTTAACCTTTTAAACTCAGTAAACAACTTCAGTTAATTTGGTTACAGCTGGTGATACCATTCCATTCATATAAAATGCAAATTCCGTTAATCCGAAGAAGTTAATGAACAAATCTAACTGTGCTGTATTAAATTTATACGTTGTATTAACAAGTTTAGTGTTTCTGTGCATAAATTACCTGGTTACTTACTTAGAGATGTTACATTCACCATCATCAGCTCACTATGAATTTGAATTACGCAAGACCAGAGTTAATTTGAAAAGGTTGAAAGTATTCAAGAGACCAAAGTTAATTTTCCCAGGTAACACAGCAAGACCAGAATGCAAGTGATATGAAAAAAGTTGAAAAGGAAAAAATTTAAATTTAAAATTAGAAAAGCAAAAAGGAGCCAAAGTGGAGTATGGAGTATATCTTAGTATTGTCAACTGAACAGCAGCCCCAAGTTCAAAACAATTTAAGGGGCAATTTTGGCAAGTTTTGTGAAACGGTCAAATATATGCCCTCAGGTAACACAATCAAGACCAGATTCAGTCTCACAAAAGAATAATCAAAAGACGTCAAAAAGTTGAAAATATGAAGAAAAAGAAAAAGCAGCAAAAGGAAAAGATCTTAGAATTGTCAACTTAACAGCATCACCTACACAAGTACAAAATAGTTGAAGAGGCAATTTTGGCATGTTTTAGGAAACACTCAACAGTTGCTCACAAATAAGCCTACTGAATAGTGCTTCAGAGACAATTTCAAATATATGGCTTTATTGGGTAACTTTTAGATACTTCAAATGACAAATTACATTTCAAAGGATGAAAATGTACTTCTAAAGAAAGGTGGTTAGTCATCCGCATAGATCACCTCTTTGGAGACAACATTGGGAACATCTTATGTTTCACTTCTCATGGCTATATACTCTCATTCACGGAAAGAAAACAAGATTGACCAAGAAAGTAGCATGTCGAATTCTCTCCAGAGGTGGATTTGCATATTTACCTTATATATGAAGCTTCATATTAACATACGAATGATGTTGAAAACTCAAAATCAGTGAATAGTATGTTATGCTCTTTCTTGATAAATAGCTAGAAAAAAAAAAACTATTTTCCCAATTGTTTTGTCAAATAAAATCAAATTTCTCAGCACAAGGGGACATTGATTCCATATTTGGAAAAATATATGCATTAGGACCCTATCCCATGCTATGCTATCAATGTACCCATGCCTTTTACTCGTTTTCCCAATTTGCAGCTTTCAAGGTCAAAGACCTTTGACTTGTCCACAGTCATAATGCTCTGCTACATGTGAAATATGCATATATACATCCAAATCAGGAACTGCAGACTTAGGCTGAGAAATCTAGTAACAAGCAAAAGCCAAACAAGTTCACATTTGAGAAAACTTTAAAAGATTAAGCATATAAATCAATTCAGTATTCCTTATATCTTGTGATAAAATTTGAGGTCAATAGGTCAGGATCCAGTGCTACAAGAATTCAATCAGAAAATAACAATCTCCTACCAAAGAGGAAACATTTTAATCTTTGATCTCTTGGTTTCTGATTCTAGAGAACCAATACGAAGTTGCAAAAAACAATTATAAACATGCGACTCAGATATAACAAGAAAACCAAAAGGCAGGGGAAAGTAGGAAGAATAGACTATAATCCTGCCACCAGAAGACGTGTTTCATCCAATTATGCATGTAAACTTACAAATAGTGAACCATATAACAGTAAATTACATCTTTAACCATGAAGCAAGCACATCAAAAGCACAATATGGCAGGTGAGAAAACTTTAACAGTATACAGTTCCACATTCTTTTCATTAGAAAGTAATAGGGCTTTTCACACAAATTCATGCAAAGTTATCACAAACCATAACACTATGTATAAGAAGTGCTTTTAATTAAGTTAATTCAGATTTTGTAAAGGAATTTAAAAACAATATATCTTGGAAGTAATTTCAACAACATGCTCTACTTCAAATTACGGTTTTAAAGTCGACAGAAGTAATGAAATTTCTTCAATGTAATGGGCAAAGAAATGAAACTTCTGTGTACATAAATTTCTCCAGAGTTAATTCAATGTGTTGAAATAGGTTTATTATCACGTGGCTTCTCAACCTAAATTAATGTTTTGGAGACCGAAAAGATGAATAATTGTAACTCCAATACCTAATTCTTCTTTCATAGTCCATATATTCATGCTACAAGCCAAACTGACTGTCATTCACTATAGCAGCCCAAAATGCACTTTCATTGCATATTTAGCTAAAGTCTTCTTAAAATAATAGCTATCAACCTTAAATGCATAAACGATGCCCCCACAACATCTTCTTCCCTTCGTAAATTAGAACAATTTGGTTAGACCCAATTCACCAGACAAAAGAATAACTTTTTCCTTCAAAAACTACTGTGGAATAATCCTCTTAAGTATTAAGCAACTCAGAACCTTATTCAAGGCTATGATTAACAGCTGTTAAGCCATAGAATTTCCGGGAATGAGGACATTCAAAAGATTTAGCAGCTTTATTTGAGTTTTCTTCACTTCTATTGGGCACATCGATTTCCAAATTGTCTGTCTTGTTGTCTCATTACAAATTCAGCTCCTTGAACATATCTTAAATAACAGTAGTAGTCACTTGGTGTTGTTTTAACTCACCATAATGAGTACCAAAACCCTCCAATAATGCAAGTCAGAATACATGGAAAGGCAAATGAATGAAGATGAAAGTGAATGTTAATGGCTTCATGAGAGAGTCTAATATTCAATGCAACATGGTAAAATCACAGGTTCCTTTGAAACTTACAGAGTAAAAATCAAGTTTTTCTTCTGATTTCTTCCACTTGAAGTCACTGAAAAAGAATTCCAATACCCAACAATTAGGACCTCTAAGCAAATAAATGGAGGCTAAAACTGGAAAATTTTTCAAAACTTTGCCATTACTTAAGTTTCAATGTACTCAACTTCCGCAATTTCAGTTATGAAGGTTATTAGTTTTCCAATCTTGTAACAGCTTGTGAATTCCACTCTTTGAAGCAAATTTATAATCAGTTACTTGTTACTTAGCTGCTCTTATGTGGGTAAAAAAGTTGTTCCAAGAAGATTATACATAAAACGTATTCTTCCTCACTTTCAAATTATGACAAGAAAAGGAAAAATAGAGAATACATATTCTCTTACCATTAACCAAACTTGATTTCTTTTATATCCTCACATCTCTTTGGGAAGTTGTACATGTTCCTTCTGACCCAACCTGAAATTTCAGGCTCAGTTCTCAAGTAAATCGTTAAAACACTAATTCATCATTTATGCATAAAAATCCAACGTCTCAGTAATTGTACACAAGATAATGCACTGACTAAGAAGTTCTTTTTCTGGACAGCACTGACTCGTACCTTATAATCATTCATTACGTTAAAATGTAAATTGCAATAGCAGAGATTGAATAATACTTAGAGCAAGTGAATCTTGTCTCTGTGTTATAATCTTAACGTGAAACCAGTACCCTCAGCTCCCACACCCTCAACTGTATCAAAAAAACCTCCAAAACGTAAGCCATTACAGCCACCATTTTCCTCCATCTGCATAAGAAAAGCACATTAAAGGCCTGAGCAATACATCATATAGACCACACATGCAAATTTTCATGTATCTGCATAAGAAAGAAGAAACCTTGTGGCAACAACACTGAAGGCAAAGCAGATAGTTCATCAGTCTCAGACCCTAAATTACAACATTGTAGAGAAGACACAGCAATTTTCTCCAATAGAAAAGTGGCAGACTTTTGTACAGAATTTCCCAGTGTTTTGGCAAGCCAATAGTGCAGCTCCACAATTTGACATGGAAGTGAAATACTTCAACGTGAGAGCATGTCACAGCATACATGCTATGGCCCTAAGTCAAATAAGGTTCTTTGCTCTGTGGACATGTAGACGCAACATCTTTCTATTCCTGCATAATATCACCATACTGATCAAAACTATTCTGCCTTTATGCAAAAATTGTTTCTTTATCACATACACAAAAATATGTGCCTGAGAAAGTGTGCATACGATAGACACCATGTTGTTAACTTTCCTATTACTCCAATACCCTTACCACGCATCCAGCCTTTTAAGTTAGCTTCCTCTGCAACTTTCAGCATGCTTTTGAAATAGTCATTCAACAAAAGCTGCTAAACTACGAATATGACCACCAAGTTACAAACCCAAAAGAAAAGGACTATTCTGCTGAAGTGTGACAATATCTCTACACTGATTCAGGGCAATAATCCAATTCCTCTTTTCATTCTTTTCCAACATGTATTTCCATTATACTACCTTTCTTCCTCCTAGCAATACGTTACGGTTCGACTCCTCTGCTTGAAGCACCTCATTGCCAATTAACCCATCAGGATAATCATGCTGCCACCAGATTGTCAATTAACGATCGACAAAGAGTTACATACTACATGGCGCCACCAGATTGATCAAAGATATTTTGCCTTCAGAAAAAGATCATTTCTTTATCACATACGAGTTAATATATACTTAAGAAAGTGGGCATTGTCAAAAAAGGCGCCTCATTAACTTTCCTATTACTTCAATACCCCTTAACATGCATCCATCTCTCTTTTTCATTTGGCTTCTTTTGCACTTTCAACATGTTATGGAAATGCCCAACCGAGAAAAGCCACCAAACTTGGAATTCGACCACCAAGCTAAAATCCCAAATGAAATTATTCTGCTTAAGTGTGGCAACATCTGTAAACTAATTAAAGGCAAAAATCAAATTCATCTTTTCATTCTTTCCCAGTAAGTATTTTCATCATCTTACCCTTCTTCCTCCCGGCTATACTCAGAAAAACGTACCAATAAAAAACGAAAACATTTCCCCTACTCAACATCATAGTTCATCTAAAAATTCATAAGCAGCAACCAATACTTTAGGGCTTTTAAAAATTATAATTTAATCACTCGACTAAATTACCAATTCAACAAGGCTTGATCATTACATAACTATCAACTTGCTAACCCAAGAACTAATGCGGACAGAAAAACATCATGTTTAACAAGATGTACGAAATGAGAATTGAACCCAAATAAACCCCAAAAAAAATAATAAAGAACAGGATATGAGAATTACAGAAACAACAGTAGTAGAGATTGTTGCAGAGAAACTAGCAACTCAAGTGCCTGGCTTTCATGTTCTGCATTAGGATGCAATTGAGGAATACAGAAAATTGAACGAGGGAAAAGAGCGAAAGAAAAGTTGTTAATGACTCGTCAACGGCCCCAAAAATTAACAAAGGAATTTAGTTGCCATCTATACCCTCAAACTAACACAAATTTCCAATTTTTACAGCATACCATATGCTATGAACTCTAGAAAATCTATTAACACAATATTTTGTTTGTTTGGATTGTAAATTATTTGAGATATTTTTACTGTATCACATTTTGTAATGTGATGTATGTGAGATAAAAAGGTAATTGAAAAGATAAAAAGCTGTATTGAAAATTATAATGGTAATATCAGTAAATATATTTGGGCAAATAATCTACTGTCCAAACAAACCTATTAATATTTGTTTTTCAACAAAAAAAGAGAGAGTGTATTAGCGTGTAGTAGTAAAAGATTTTCAAAAGGGGAAAATTGTTCAAAACATCTTCATTTTGTTGAATAAATGTTTTCATCACGTATTTTCAAAATATTAATTTTAATTCCTTATAAATTTAATTTGGTAAAATTTGGATCCAACTTAAATTTTTTATTAATTTTTAGTCTGAAATCACCACGTGACCCATATATAGTTATTTTATATATATATATAAGACAAATTTTACTTTTTTTTGTTGTACAAAATGTATATAAATTTGCTCAGATTTCATTTTTTTAAAAGAAAAAATAAACATAATTCAGATCAAATCTTACTTTTTTAAGGATAAAAGCGAATATAGATCGGATCATTTATTTGATTACAAATAGGATCTAACCTTTTTTTCCTCAAAAAATGACCGTATATAGGTCATGTGATGGATTCACAGTAAAAAGTGATCGAAAACATATGTTGAAACCAAAATTTCCCAACTTGATTTTGTGAAGAACATAAATTTATCAATTGAAAAATGAAAGACAACAAAAATTATTTAGCGAAATATGAGGGACGTTTTAAATAATTTTCTTTTTCAAAATAGTAAATTTGATAAATTCCAAACATAAAATCAAGTAGAGGTACCATCAAGTTGAACTGAGTTTATGGTGCGAGAGATAGATTGAATAGTTCGAAGAAAGGGAATATAAGTAAGAGATTTCGGATTCGAATCTTTCCACTTACACTAATAAAAATTTTGAGTCGAATTTGAATAGTGCAGTATTTGAACTCTACTCGAATAAAAAATACTTCAAATCAAGTTTTTAAAATTGACCTCAAGGCTCAAACTCAATCTTATTTGGCCTTAATCAAATTCAAGTTCAAATTCAATCAAATCGACCTCAATCAAACTTACTGATATTTATTTTATATAACTTTAAACAAGAAATACAAAATGTTCATTTTTGGCTAATACATATAAGAATAAAAAATATATATAGACATATTTAAAACTTGATTAAGTGCAATTAAACTGTACGACTCATCAAACTGTTCAGAGACACTTGAACTCGATTAATGCAAAGTTTCAACTCAAAACTTTGACCAAGCAAAATAATAAAAATAATAATAATAATAATAACAATAATAATAATAATAATAATAATTTCACTTTTTAAAAGAATAAATGGACATAGTTCGGATCAAATCTTACTTTTGAAGCGTAGAAACGAATATAGATCGGATCATTTATTTGATTACAAATACGATCTAACATTTTTCCCCTAAAAAATGACATTATATAGGTCATGTGATGGATTCATGGTAAAAAGTAGTTAAAAATATAAGTTGAGATAAAATTTTACTAACTTGATTTTGGTAAAACTTGGTTCCAACCTAAATTTTTGATCACTTCGGTAAAACTTGGTTCCAACTAGGCATGTCAATGGATCAGATCTTATCCAGATCCAATATATTTGGGTAAGGTTTGGATTTAATTTCTCAAATTCATACCCTACCCATACCCAAACCCTATGAGAGAGTCGTGGGTCTGGATAGGGTCTAATTTTCTAGAATTTATATCCAAATCCAGACTCATATCAGAGTTTATCCAGACCCATATATATAATTAAATAATATATATTATAAATTTATAAAATAATATAATATTTTATGGCTATTGAATCGAATATAGTAAGATTTTATGGCATCAGAATCTACATTTAGTGTTGGTGATTGGTTGATTGATGAGACTCGTGCCAAATTGCTTCTAGATGTGATTGAATTATTAGGGACTACTGATGATTGGATTGAATAAAAAAAAATGATTGAGTGTTTATAACTCTTTTTATTCTATTGTTTATTTGCCATCGATTCTTAATCAAATGATTGTTATCTCATTCACTATTTTAGTGTTGGATTACGAGACATTTGCCAGCATTGAGATTTAAATAAGAAAAAGAGGTATAAAATTACAGTTTTTTAATAAGACTAAATATTTATATATGTTTTGGTTGTTTTCTTTTTTAAAAATTAATCCTAGTTGTCATTGTAATTGATACAAATTTTTTCAAGAAAAGGAGAAAAGGTAAAGGCCAACAAATGAAATATTGATGTGAATGCAGTTAAATCTTTAAAAATATATAGAAGTAGTCCATACTAATTCTTTTTTTGAATTCAAAATACTGCACTCAATTTGTTGAATGTTAATTTTATTATTTGAAAACAAAAATTGGATGGCATTTCTATTATTTATGAACTCTATATATTTTTAGTACATTTTTACTTAAGTATTTTCAGAAAATACCCATGGATGCACATTGAATACCTAGATGTATAAGGATCTGGATATGGACTTACTTTTTCAGATCCCAAAGGGTCTAGATCTAACTCTGGGTCTAACTAAATTAAATAGATTTGGATTTGAATCAAAGGGATCCAATTCAGACCCTACTCATTGACATGCCCGGTTCCAATCTATTTTGATCACTTTTTAGTATAAAATCATCATGTAACCCATATGTAGTCATTCTATATATATGTGTGTGTGTATAAAGTCAAATTCCACTTTTCGTTGTACAAAATGAATATAAATTTAGTCAGATTTCACTTTTTAAAAAGAAAAATGAACATAGTTCGAATTGAATCTTACTTTTTTAAAGGTAAAAACGAATATAGATTGATCATTTATTTGATTACAAATAGGATCTAATCTTTTTCCTCTAAAAAATGACCATAAATAGGTCATGTGATGGATTCACGATAAAAAGTATTTGAAAACATAAGTTGAGACCAAAATTTAGTAACTTGATTTTGTGAAAAACGTAAATTTATTAAAAAATAAAAGATAAAGAAATATGAAGGACATTTTGAATAATTTTTCTTTTTAAAATAGTAAAATTGATAAATTCCAAGCATAAAATCAAGTAGAGTACCATCAAGTTGAGTTGAATTTATGGCGTGAGGGATATATTAGGTGGTCAAAGAAAAGCGAATATAAGTGAGAGATTTCGAATTCAAATCTTTCGACTTATATTAATAAAAAAAATTTTGAGTCGAATTTGAGTAGTGCACTACTTGAATTCTACTCGAATAAAAATATTTCGATTCAAGTTCCTAAAAATTGACCTTGAGGCTCTAGCTCAATCTTATTTGGCTTTGTTCGAATTCGAGTTCAAATTTAATCAAATCGTCCTCAATCAAACTTGTTGATATAAATTATTATTTTATATAACTTTAAACAAGAAATACAATGTTCAATTTTTGCTAATAAATATAAGAATAAAAAATATAAATGCATATTCAAAACTCGATTAAGTGCGATTAAGCTGCACGGCTCATCAAACCGTTCAGAAGCACTGGAACTCGATTAATGCAACTTTCAGGTCAAAACTTTGACCAAGCGGAATTGTGAGTAGTTAAAATAATAATAATAATTAATGGTAGCATAACTGCGCTTAACCCGTATAATTTCACAGGTGGCACATCCCCCCACTACTTATAAGCCGCGTGGTGTAAAGTAGGGTTTCCAATTCCCAAAATCGAGACCCAAATAAATACACGTCGTTTTGCTCTAACCCTAACGCTTACTCCGCTTGTTCTTCGTCGCCGCCGAATCGGTATCTCTTCCTTCTTTTTCTGCCTTCTAGGGTTGATTTCTTCCCCCCTTATGTCCCTCAATTTGCCCCTTTTTTTACTGAATTTGCTTCGTTGTTTGTTGTTCTTTGTAGGTTCGGAAATTAACCACCGGCTGCTCCACCTTACGTATGTTGTATTCTCTTTTCTGATTCGGTTTTTCTTGTTGCATTATTGGGGGAAAAGATCATATTCTGTTGTTATTTTATGGTCTAAAGTTTGCTGTTTGTGTTTTTTCTTTTCTTTGAAAGGTTGATTTCAAAGTAAATTTTACTGTTCTTGGCGCGTTTTAATTACTTGGCTATTATTAATTAAGTGGGTTTGAAGAGAATGAGATGATGATGATTTTTCTAGTTATTTGATGGCCGATTTGATGGCGATTTATCTTGTATTAGCTCTAGCTGATCGTTCTCTGGCTGAAGCGGCTTTAAAATAGTGAACCTTGTTGCGTGATAATATAAATAAAAAGATTTCTTTTCTGTTCTGAAATTGTTTTGTCTTTTTTCCTCGAGTTTCGCAAATGCAGTTATTGGTTTGGAGGTGGATTTTTATTTAGAAGAGAATGAAATGATGACACTTTTATGTTTTGATGGCCAATGTGATGGCTTTGAACGTGTATTAGCTCTAGCTGATCATTCTCTTTATTGGTGACTTTTCAGCTAGTGTTGCCTCCCACAGCCCTATTTTTTATCTTAGTGTAACTTGCCATTTATGGGGTGTCTGTTTTGTATTTTCTTTAGTTTTTGGAAGATGATGGTAATCATTGAGTTGTCACAGTCTTCATATGGTAGGCAAAACTTAGGTGTGAAGTATAAGGATGAATATGGATTATGGTCATTTTAGTATGACAAATTGGTCTTCTGATTGCTTTGGCTATTGAAAGCCATAAAGTGAGCAAGGTATATTATCTTTTTATGTAGACCCAGTTTGCAATTTTGGGTTTTTGTGGGAGATGCATTTTATAACCATGTTAAAGTGACTAACATCTTCTTCTTGTTAATGTGAACTGAAAAGTTCACAATTTAGGTCGTCATTGCAATTTTTAGACACTGTTTACAATTTTAAATTTGTGCGCATGTAGTTTCTGTTGCAT